CTACCGTTATGAAAACAGTTGCTTTTTCATAGATCTATATGTTTTTTCATGACTTGCCAGACTCGTTTTGACTCGTCAGAGCAAAACAAATAAGTCATCAAACCGGGCCGGCCCGATTGGAACCTCGCCTGGCCAGGTTCCAGAACTCGGGCTGGATACGGCCCTACTATGCTTACGCAAAACCGCCGAACCCGGCTTAGAAGTCGGGCTGGGCCGGGCCTGCAGTGCGTAAACGCCTTCTTAGGCTGAGCCCGGCCACCCTACGAATGAAGCTCGTTTCGGCCGCTTGTATGTGGGATCTCGTTCTTTCGGTCCTGATCCACACCTCATGACCATAGATGAGGGTTGGAACGAAGTCAGACCAGTAAATCCAGAGCTTCGCCTTTCGACTCAGCTCTTTCTTCACCACGACTGACCAAAGCAACGCCCTCATTACTGAGGACAAGGCCCCAATCTGTCGATCCACCTCCTGCTCCATCCTACCATCACTCATGAAGAAGACAACCAGATACTTAAACTCTTCCGCTTGAGGCGGAGACTCTCCCCTAACCTGGAGGGGGCATGCCACCCTTTTCAAGTTGAGAACCATGGTCTCTAACTTAGTGGAACTGACTTTCATCCCAGCCGCTTCACRCTCGGCTGTGAACCGCCCCTGTGCACGCTTAAGTTCTTGGACTGAAGACGCCAACAGAACCACATCATCTGCATTCAGTAGAGACTAGACCCTTTGGTTCCCAAACCAGACACCCTCCTCTCCACGACTGCACCTTGAGATCCTGTCCATAAACACTACAAACAGGATTGAAGGGACAGCTCTGATGGAGTCCAGCACGCACTGCGAACAAGCTCAACTTTGTGCCGAGAATGCGAACGCAGCTCCTGTATTGGTTATATAGGAACTGGATCGCTCTTAGCAACCCAGACACCCAATACTCCCGCAGCACCCCCCACAGAATGCCTCAAGGAACACGGTCATAAGCCTTCTCCAAGTCCACAAAACACATGTAGACTGGAGAGACCCCTAAACAACTCCGCAAGGATAAAGGCCTGGTCCACTGTTCCACGCCCAGGATGAAAGCCACACTGCTTCTCCTGAATCCGAGGTTCAACAATTGATCRTAGCCTCCCTTCCAACACCCTGGAGTAAACTTTCCCAGGGAGGGCGAGAAGTGTGTTTCCACGATACTTAGAACACACTCTCTGGTCTCCCTTTTTAAAAATGAGAACCACCAGCCCGGTCTGCCACTCCACAAGAGTTGTCCCAGTCCTTCATGTGATGTTGAAAAGACGTGTCAACCATGACAGCCCCACAACATCCACAGCCTTCAGCATCTTGGGGAAAATCTCATCCACCCCTGGCGCCCTGCCATCAAGGAGTTTTTTGACCTCTGCCATGGTAATGGACTTGCCTTCCCCCAATTCTTCAGACTCTGCCTTCTCAAAGGTGGACATGAAGGGTGGATTCAGGAGATCCTTAAAGTGTTCCTTCCACCACCCAACGATATCCTCAGTCCTGATCAGCAGTTCCCCACCCAAACCAAGTACAGCCTGGGACAGGGAACGCTTTCCTTTTCTGAGTCGCTGAACTGTTTGCCAGAACTAGGGATGGGTACCGAATTTAATATATTTTTTTAAGTACTGACCGAATTCTGTCGGTACTACCAAGAACCTATTCACGTAACATCAAACGGTACCATGTTTCGGTACCTAAACTCATCATTGTGACCGTATTGGCGTAAGAGTGGTGAGTTTTCCATGCTTGTCCTAAATGCAGCATTGGGCAAGAGCGTAGTGATGTCAGCAGCCGCTGGTTCACTAAACAGAGTTCAGTCTGAACGTAGCTTGAAAGCGAAGCGAGCCTCGCAGCTCCTGGAGTAAAACTCACTGAACAGACCGCCTCTGAATTATCTGGTGGATTAATTATCTTGTGAGCACAATGTTCGCTTGCTCAAAGTAAATAAAGTACCACCACTTTCTTTATTTCATCCACCATTAAACAGAGACCGGCAGAGGAAAACAACAAGAGGAGCTTCCTGACATCCCGAACGCGTCTGACCTGAAAGAGCACAAGCAGCCGGCTTTAAAGCGTTGGGCACGTTTTGGATGCTCAAAACGTAGCTTGAGTGCCTTTTATTTATTTTAACTCAATCCTCTTTTGCTAATTTGATTTAAACTTATTTGCCTTCCATGGATCTCCATCACACGATTTTTCTAGTGGGGAAATGACATCAATAGTGGAGCTGGATTTTAATTTGTGCAATAAGAAAAAACAGTCTTGTTGTTTTCAAGAGTTTGCACTTTAAAGAAATTAGTTACACAACTGATGTTACAATACAAAGAGTTGGATGTTGTCTTGATATTTGTTAATTTTATACATTGAGAAACAGATAAAATAAAAATAAATAAAAGTTTATTATTAAAACACACACACAAAGTACCGAAAATTGGTATTGTTAAGTACCAATTCCCAGGTACCGGATTGGTACAGAATCGATTCAAATGTCAAAGTTACCCATCCCTAGCCAGAACCTCCTCAAGGCCAATCGAAAATCCTTCTTTATGGCCTCCCCAAGTTYCTCCCATGCCCAAGTTTTTGCATCTGCAACCACCAAAGCTGCAATCCTCTTTGCCACCTTGTACCTATCAGTTGCTTCAGGAGTCTTACGGGAAAGCCATGTTCGGAAGGCCTCCTTCTTCAGACTGAYGGCCTCCGTCACCACTGATGTCCACCAGCGGGTCCTTTGGTTGCCATTGCGACAGGCGCCAATGACCTTCAGGCCACTGCTCCTGGACGCCGCATTTGCAATGGAGGCCCTGAACATGTCCCATTCGGATTCCATGTCCCTGACCTCCCCCAGGACATGTGAAAAACTCTCCCGGAGGTGAGAGTTGAAGATCGCACAGACAGGGGGCTCCTCCAAACGTTCCCAGTTCACCCACACTATACGTTTGGGTTTACCAGGTCTGTCGGGCAGCCTCCCCTGCCACCAGATCCAACTCACCACCAGGTGGTGATCATGACAGCACTGCCCCTCTCTTCACCAAAGTGTCCAAGACATAAGGCCGCAGGTYCAATGACACTATTACAAAAGTGATCATCAACCTTTGACCTAAGGTGGCCTGGTACCAAGAACATTTATAGACCACCCTATGCTCAAACATTGTGTTCTTTATGGACAACCCATGCTTAGCACAGGAGTCCAATAACAGAACATTGTTCAGGTTCAGGTCAGGGAGGCCGTTCCTCCCTATCACCCCTTTCCAGATAACTCCATCATTGCCCACATGGGCATAGAAGTCACCCAGTAGAACAAGGGAGTCTCCAGATGGCACCCCATCCAGGACACCATCCAAAAACTCCAAAAAGGCAGGGTAATCTGAACTGATGTTAGTGCATAAGCACAAACAACACTCAGAACCTTCCCTCCGGCAGCACGAAGCCACAGTTATAATATCCCAATTAGTAAAAGATACTGATCTAAAGAAGCCGTTGGAAAGGAAAAACTCCCTTTCAACAAGAAGAAACCCCCAGCAGAACCGGAACCAAGCTCAGGATGGGCAACCATTTTCCTCGACTAGCTGGGGTCACTGAGGACAGGAAAGAAACAAACATAAAATGATTGGTCCAGGTGTCATTTCTCTGGGAAGAAAGACAAAGAAAATGCTAATGATAGAAATAATGATAAATTCTAACTTAAAGAGTAGAACGAGTAAAGACAGCAGCAGAAAGAGGAAATGTCAGTTTGTCCTCCAGAATTCTAAGCTTTTATAACTAAGAAATAACTGAGGAAACCTAAGTCTAACTATAGGATTTATCAAAAAGGAAAGTCTTCAGTCTAATCTTAAAAGTAGACAGAGTGTCAGCCTCATGGACAGAAACTGGAAGTTGGTTCCACAAGAGAGGAGCTTGATAACTGAAAGCTCTGCCTCCCATTCTACTTTTAGAAACTCCAGGAACCACAAGTAARCCTGCAGTCTGAGAGTGAAGTGCTCTGTTAGGAAAGTATGGAACAATAAGATGTTTAATATATGGTGGAGCTTGGTTGTTAAGAGCTTTTTATGTTAGGAGTAATATTTTAAATTCTATTCTGAATTTGACAGGGAGCCAGTGGAGAGAAGCTAAAACTGGAGAAATATGATCTCTCCTTCCAACTCTCATTAAAACTCTAGCAGCAGCATTTTGGATCAACTGAAGCCTTCTTAAAGAGGATTTTGAGATATACATACAATATCATTTGTCTCTCTTGTGTTTAATGTAATGCAGGAGTGATGCTTTTGAGAACCCAGCTCGCCAGCAGCATTACAGGAACCTGGAGGCCTTGGCTTTGGACATGAAGGCTCCAGAGGACATTGAGGATCTTATTAGTAAGACGAAAACAGATCCTGTTATCTTTTTGGCTCCTGCAGTTTGTGTTCAAATCTTCAGTTCACACTTGTTCATTTCTGTTCCTTTCTTTGTCTCAGTGCCAAAGGTGGAGCAGATTGACCACTGTCTCGGTCCTTTGGTCCAAGACTTCAAAGATATGGTTTACCCCCCCGATTACAACCCAGAGACCAAAACGGCTCCTAAACACAAAACGGGTGAGATTCTGAGTTTTCAGTAGTTCAGTATAGTTACTGGTTACTTTGTATTCATTCTGTAGCGAGAACAAGGGGAGAAGCAGTAAGAGTTGAGGGAAATTCCTAATCAATAAATGGATGTCTGAATAATATTGCAGAAAACAAGTTGATTCTCCTTCTAAAACCTTATTCTTGTCTCTGACTCCAATCAGTTCCACAGCACTTTACACAGTCAGGCTTCAGCAGCAGTCAGAAGGCCTTGGRCTTATCAGGAAAGCAAAACAGTCCTCTAATAGCTGCTCTACGACTGCAAACTCAATAACTAACAAAAAAAAACTCTTCTTATATAATGATGAATCAACCTTTTAAATGTATGTCTGATTTCCTGGTTCACCCCTGGAGGTGGGACCTTGTTAGACATTAGAACGTAACTAACTTTGTTATGAAGACAGAAAGGTCTCATGATAAGACACACAAACTGTTTAATCTTTAACCCCAAGTATAAAAAATACAAGACTGGTTCTAACATTCAATCAGTTACAAAATTTCCTTCAACTCCCTCTCTTTGACATACATAAACTAAGTCAAATAAAAACCCATAAGGAAATTATATGAAAACTTTGTCACCCTTGTTTCGTGTTTTCTGACCAGATATCTTTTTTTCTCCACCCAAATGTCCTGTAGGTATGTGCGATGTTGCAAGTGCTCCCTTGCTTGTATCACAGGGTCCTCAATCCAGTCTGCGTACTGGTTTACTCTTTCCTTGGGAGTAGATTTTACATCCTCATTCTTAGTTGATGGTTTGAGTTCGTCTGGTGGAGGAGAAAAAGTGTTYAGTTGCTCTTCAGTTGTAGGTTGGGGGAACCCTGTTTCTGGTTCCTTTGTTTGTGAGGCTAAATCCAGTTCTTTCAGTTCAGCAGACTGAAGTAACTCTTCTCTCCGTGGTTCTGATTCTGCAGCAGTCTCATCATCCACTTGTACGTGGTTTTCCATCGATGTCTCAGCTCCAACTCGATCCAAAGTCAGTCCATCTGACCTGAACAGATGTTCTCTCTCCCAGAAAAGGTTGACGTCCATGAATCCCACGGAGTGGTCAGCACAGAACTCTTTCAAAAAGCGATTAAGAGCAAACAGTCAACTACATTTTTTATCAACACCTCTTGCCTTAGGTGTAGGGCCACTGATGAAAATCCCCATGTTGAGATTCTGAATTGCATTCAACAACTGAATGAAATCCTCTTTGAAAATTTTTGACTGTTAGTTCATAACTTCACTTCCTRTATGAATGATGAGCATCTTCTGAGCTGGAAACTCAGCTGCGATTTCCAAAATCTTCTTTGCGAGGTCAGACACTTTATGAGCAAAACTCAGAACTTTTACTTTATACTTATTCCAAAAGCCTCTGATCTCATTCATCGTTTTATCTGTGATGATCAGCATTTCTTGATTCTTGAAAGTCTCTCTTTGGACTTGAACTGAACCTGGTTTCAGGTCCCTCTCTGAGATCAGAAAATGAACCTTGTTCTGACTAGGGCTGGGCCACATCATATCATTCACAATAATATCGGTAAAAAAAAATCTTGCCCGGGAAAATAAATTATATCATGTGTATATGTTGTCTACGTGTATGATTGGCAGATTGACAATGAACGCAACTTCACGCTCTTGGGGATTGACGTGAATTGGAATCGCGCTACCGAGAGAGTAAGCTAAATAAGCTTGGATTGGCATTACTTTTTCGTTAGTAGCGGAACCTACGATGTCGTTTACCATGTCTAAACAGACGAGATATGGTGGAATTCTGCCACTGGCCAGAGAATCAATAGACAAACTGATATCCCTAAGCATGCCAGAAAA